ACGCAAGGTATTCATGCTTCATAAATCCAATGAGCTGCTTTGCCTTCTTTCCTCTTGTCTTTAACATAAAGACCAAGTATTTACTATCAGTTTGATACTCACAGCACAATAGACTCAATTATCCTATTCACATTTAAACACTCAAAGTGAACATAAAAAAGAAAGACATAATAAATACAGTACGATGCAGTTTTTGCATGGCTGAACAGGATTGATCCTGTTAACCTGCTCACACCTCTGAGCTGCTGCAGTATACATTGACCCCATGAAACCGCAGTACATCCTCCACTGACCCACTCCCGGAAACATGCACTCCACTTACACTGGGGCACATGTACAACAACCTCCCTGCTTCCCCTTTCATATCTACACACACACACACACACACTCACACATACACATCTGGCCGGGGGGTAAATTAAGCCTCAACATTCCCACAGAGGCTAATCTCCATCCATTTAGAGGGCTGTAATATTTAATCAGGAGGCCCCGGACCGTCTCCCAGTGCCACACGCTGTGGCACGGTTCATATGTTAGCAGGAGGCCAGCCCAGAGGCAACGGAGGGGAATTCACTGCTAAAAGCCACGATGCATTCAACCACAGCGCCTCTCGCTCTCTTCTGCTATCTGATGCCACGGTCCTTCGGGGTGGGGGAGACAGGAGAGCACCAACATGGATTGGCATTAATGTGAAGAGTTTGGAATTTTAGCTGGACATCTGTTCTGTAGTGTTTTATGTGACACTGTATACTGCTTACAGGACATATTTTTAGTGTACTTTTGATTAAAGTGCTTCCCTGTTGTCAGTTAATATGCCAAGCCACTATTGTGTTGCTGTCTGATGAATATAACATGCAGTGTCACTTTTTCATAAATTAATCAAATCTACATCATACTACATCACATCCAAAATAAGATGTTCCAGCAGGGAAAGGACAAAATAACAAGAACTATTTCCTTTATAATTCAGCTGATATATTTGTATTTTTTTATTTTAAGTTCCCAGAGCCCAAAGGGACATCTATAAATTACTTATTTTGTCTGTCAAAAAGAAAGAAATAAGACATATTTGTATTACTATTATCAATTAAATAATTACCTAAATTAAAATTAAACAGAATGAAAGGCACACTCCAGGGTGACCAAATCCAAGCCCGGATATTTAAATGATATCACTAAAGTCATTTTAGACTCGACAAACCTCTTGCAGAACCACAGAGACATTATAGAAGTGTTTTGTTTAGTACTTTCCATGAGGAGTAACTGACTTTGAATGCAACATTTGTGACAGACCCCTTTCATTTTCTGTTGAAAGAGTAATCAATCTATTTGACTAATCGCTTGAGCCATAAAGTTAACGCAGCAAATTATGAGCACAGTTGAAGTTGAATCAACTATTCTTAGTCACAGTCTCAATAAAACCTGAACATAAACCATTATCCTTCACAAAGGTGTTAGTTATTGCAGGGCAACTGTCTTCCTGTTAGAATAACAGATGATGCGTTTCACTATCAGGCTTCCTGACAGCAAGGTTATTGAATGAATGCTGGCACGTGGCAGTGTAATAGAATCGTTGGAGGTTAGACAATTCCGAGCTTTCTAAATCACGTAAACGCACCGTAACTCGACACGCACAGTGTGCGCTATTAACCCTTCACATTCTACAGTCACACCGATACAAATTCATGTTCTTGCCAAACTATTTCACCAAGGCATGTGTTATTCTCACCAAGAACACGGCAGATTTAAGTTACTTACGGTTCTATTGTAAAACGTGAGGCAACAGTCGGCGGCCATCTTGGTCAAGTTTGACTGACCTGCAGTGGTGGGAGGGAGCTCTGATTGATCGTGATCACCTGAGGGAGCCAGCGAAGCACTTTCACCAACAAGCCAAATACACATCAATTATATTCAGCTTGCTAGACGAATCTGTAAATATCTTATAAACCACTGTGGGGGCCATTCTCCATGTGTCTGCATTTAGGCCTATATAATGGAGTTCTTCAGTCATTTGTGATTATTGATCAATATTCATTGTGTTTATTATTATTTCGATCGTTTTTTAGGTAAAACTCCCAGTAAACAGTAACAGTAAACATGGCCAAAACAAGGTGACTTTTTATTTATTGTGTAAATGGTGTCTTTTAGTGTATTTTTGATCAAATTAACAGTTGAAGTAAAGAGTAGGAGAATAATCAAGGTCAATGTGGTATATTATAGGCAGGTTATTTAAATCCACAAAAGTTGATTTGATCTTTTTTTGGCTGGTGTTATGTGGAAGGCTGTTCCCTCGTAGAAAAGTGTTTCCCTCCATGTTGATAAGGGTTGGTTCAGGTTTACGCAGGGGGAAATACTTATTGTGGGGGAAACAGTAGTCCAAACAACACCTTACCTGGAAGTGCTGTCAGGACGCTCACACTGACAGCGTTAGCCGTCCTGTCTGGAGGTATTGCACCGGAAAGAGCCAATTGCTCTCACACTCCCCCACAGTAAAGGTCAGGCCTCTCACCATCAGTGTGAAAAGCCTGCACTGGAAAGGGTATATAGTCTGTTTAACAACTCAGATGCTGCCGATGCTTGTCTGTGTGCATGTGTACAGTACATACAGTATGTGCTTGACCTGACCTGCAGCAAAAAAAACAATTGAACGACGCTGTGATTTAGTGTTTTGCGTAAACATACTATTTGCGTTGCTAAGCGTCGAGTGATAAAAAATGTGTCGTGTGCGTGGCCATTGTAACGCCTGCTCACTGATTCAGACTGACTCTAATGGGAAGGCCTGGTGAATTTTTCATACAGCCCAGAGGGAGAGGTCGAGCGGCCATACTGGCAGATTACAACCTCTGAGAGAGAGAGAACAGTGGAGTGAAGAGGTAACCTGACTTTCAGGTCGTATAGCGTCACCCTCCAATCGCCATTTGGGACACATTCAAGAGAAAAGATGAAGTGAATAGAAGGTCATCTCTCAAGATTTTTGAATCACATCCTTTTCAATGCGCAATTTTCCCAAAATGATTGGGGATAAAAGGACACAGTCTTAATTGCACGTCTTTGTGCACATCTTGGCTTTGTTAATGCATGGATTCACCGAGGTTGATGTTTAAAACCTGATGTTCTTTCATGTTTTTGATTCATCTATGATCATCTACCAATCACTAAACCTGATAAACAAGAGCAACTTCATCTTGATGATTCTTTGTGAACAAAAGCAGGCTGAATAATGCCCAAGATCTCAATTTAATGGGCTGAAATTTCTGCAAGAAAGCTCTAAAAAAATTATCCATCTGTTCAGTGCACACATGCCACAGCTCACCCAGATAGCTCGTAGCACTGTCTTGCGTATGCAAATATGTTTTGCCTGGAAATCTATTTGGAGTTGCTCGAAGGAATCCAGAACGGCCCTCCTTCTGTCTCCCCTTGCCGGCTCACGCGGGGCTCCCTCTTGCCGTCTATCTCCTCTCGCGTGGAAAACATTTTCACCAGCTCCACAGGCATGGACATACATACAGTCAGTGGCACCGCCTTGCCTCAGACAGCTTTAACCACCATGGGCCAATATGCAGATCTCACAGGCACACACTGGCGGCCCTGTCCGCAAGCAGGACAAGCAGCCCTGCAACTGTTTGCTTAGTTGGATAATACATGCAATAGAGTGACACAGAGGGAATAATTATCCACTCTGTGAAGACGCATCGCCACTAATTTTGTCCTTCTGTTACACACTTAAAGTCCTCCTTTGTAATGGAAACAGTGGCGTGTGTGGCCCCAAAATATGAATGTCTGCATGGAATGAAAAGGCTGTGTTGATACAAGAAAAAAAAACAACACAATTATATTTGCAAGAGCAATGTTTAGAAATAATCTATGAATGTATTTTGCATATTTTGAGTAGAACCTTCTTGAGATGTTTTAAAATTGAAAATACTAAAACACTAAAAGCACTCAATGAAGTTAAACCTTTTTAAGTGGGATTTTTTATTTTTATTTTAACATGTGTGTGTATGAAGAATTAGTACCCCTCTTGGGCAGAGATGCAAAAAGAAGGAAATAACAGACGTGTGTGTGTGTGTATGTGTGTGTGTACTAGAGGGCGGAGAAGCCAGGCTTAGGCAGATGGTCCACAAAGGTGTTACCACACAGTGAGTGGGCACTGCGATTGATGCATTGCAACATCCAAGAAGGTGGAACATTTGGCTGCTGACCCGCAGTCAGAACTCATTGGCCCTGCCTTCTCCTTATTTAGCTGCTGCGAGAGAGCCGACGGGTGATTTGGTTGGAATAAACACACACACACTCTCGGAACGCAGCTCTTTCCCACCCTCAAGGGAGCCTGCATGAGCTGCGCGTTGGAAACTTCTCCCTCGTCTCTGCAAGGAGGTCACGATGGTGGTGCAGGCAGGGAGGATGAGTGCACAGAGCCATGGAGACGAACAGAGACAGCACACTGGAACTTAGGGTTACTGTGTTACACTTGGATGGAGAAGATCTGACCTTGAGCTTATTCTGAGGGGATTGTTAGTGAAGCAGCTCCATATGACTGGATTTCTGCAAGTAACATGTTACAATCCTATTCTGTCTGAGGAGCACTGAAAACATAGAGACAAAGGCCCATAAGGAAGGGATGCAAAAGCTTTAAGTGATGGCCCGTCTTTCCTTCGAGAGTTCAAAAATGGTCTTCTGAAAAAAAAGGACATTTTGTCAATTGAGCACAAGCACTACAAAATCAATTTGTGCAAACTCATTAAAAATGTATTGATGGACAAGTGGCTAATTCTCTATCTTTGTGGACGCTTAGTGTCTCTTCCTCCTTCAGCCGAATGAGTGAAATTCCTTTTAAAATTGTCCCAAGTAAATAAAAAATAAAATACATTTAACAACTCCCCAGTTGGAATTATGTATACAAATTATTATTCCTTTAAAATGTGTCCAAAAAAAAGATGATTAATAAAAGGAAACAGCAAAAGTTCAAAGACGAGTATTCTCTCTAATTACAAACATTATTAGTTATGCATATGGAAAGATTTTATTTCAGACCCCAAAGCGATCTTACATCAGTTGAAACATGGAAAATTCATGAGTGAGTACTCTAACCAAAGGCAACATTATGGCGATGGAAATTAAACATGATAATTGCTATTTGTCTCTGAGTGCAGTTAAATCATTAAGTCCACAGCAATAATGCAACTCACAGTTTACTGTTTTTCTATCCCCTTCACATTCATCATGAATAGCATCAAACAAACAAATATTTTAATTGCATGTATTATGGCAGGTTTTTGGAAATATGCTTGTTTTTGTTACAGTATGTTCAATTCTAACAAAAAAGAGCTTTTTTTAAATCAATCTTTACCTGTAATTTTCTAAACGCATTGCAGTTTAACATACATATCATTATAGGCTGGTGAAATGTGTTCTTGAATACTTATTTTCATCAGTTTTTGGTGGCCTCGTTAATAACCTCAGTTCATATCTATGCCATATCATATTAGCCGATGCGTGATAATGCTTCACTTGACACAGAGTTTCTGTTTGATGTGAACTAGTACAGAGTGCCACCCTATGGATACATCTGGCACGTCAAATTTTTGTCATATTTACCGATTGGTTCTATCAAAGGATGAAGCTTTGAGATACAAAGACTGGTACAACTTTTAAAATGCAAACATAGGAACAGCGCGTTGATCCTAAACTGAGTTACTGTTTAGCAAAAGGTTAATGATGTAAAAACAACTGACTTCGGTGTCCCACAAAGTATTGGCTTTAGACTGAATCTAAGTAAGAAATGCACATATCAGTATCAGTCCAACACAGATGTCTAACGCCTCCTCCCTCTCAGCATTCGACTCCACGCTCAGTCAGTCATCATCCACCACCATCACGTTCCCGTTCAGCTCATACTCCATGGTGCCCCAGTCAAAGATGTTGCCCTTGGGGACCTTGTGCCCGTAGTGCCAGGCCTGGATCATGCTCCTGGAGAGCACAAAGTCCCACATATTCAGATCAGTCATCTCCCCTACAAAGCTCTGCACGGCCTCCAAACCCCCCAGGTGTTTGTCTGGGTCCTGCCCCAGGAGGACGGTGCCTTTTGGACGGATGGTGTGCCCGGGTTTGTAAACCTGGTAGGTGCTGCGTTTCCCTTCCACCCAGAAAGCAGCCAGGCCCGTGCGGGACTCCCAGGTCAGGCAGAGGCTGGTGCGGAACGTGGTGAGCGGCGGCAGGTGGTAGAAGGTGCCGTCGCCGCTCATATAAAAGGAGATGCGTCCGTCCTGCTCGCGCCACACGTTGAGCTCGTCATAGTCGGCTGTGCGGTAGGCGAACAGGATGATCTGACGTTCTTCCGGCAGCTCAGTGGCCACACGCATGCAGAGAGTGAAGGCCCTTAGTCCCATCTCCTTCTGCGGGATCAGGGCCACGAAGCTGAAGTCAGTCTCATAAGGGAACACCAGGACTTTGTCGCTCAGACCCACTGGGGCAACACAAAAAGAGAAGATAGAGTTGAGACACCGTACCTCAGTGTCCGAACAACATATGGTGGTATACTTCTGAAGGTACATTTCTCATGACATTCTGTTAAATTCATACCTTGGGTGGCTGAGGAGAGTGTCAGAGACCATCCAAAGAGTACTCCCACAGCAAACCTCACAGTGTTGACACTCTTCAAACACATACAAGACATCCATCATCCTCTGAGAATATCCAAAAATTAAGTCCTAAGCATCTCTGAACAGACAAGTCCCACCAGAGACCAAATTATGTAAAGAAACGTTACAAGAAGAAACAGCGTTTCTTACCATTTTGATGTTGTTTGTTGCTCCTCTGTGTTGCTAACTCAGTCCCACTTGATAATGTCCCGTGCCCAGTCCTCTTCCCTCCTAGCACAAGCCACAAGACGTCAGCTCTTCAACGATGCTCTGACAATAGGCCTGGTGTGTGAGGGCTGAGTGACACAGTCCTTTTACATGTGACTGATGCAAACACACACCATTTCAGCTGTGTGTGTGTGTGTCTGTGTGTGTCCATATCACATGGCAGACTCACAGCGCTCACATCAGGGAGAACAATCTTTCATAGCAGATGTCAGAGCTGTGGCAGAGATTGTTGTTGTTGTGTGGGAATCTTAAAAGGGTCAGTTCACCCAAATCACAAATTCACTTACTGCAAGTGGTAACCATGCAAATCATTTTTTTTTATTTTATGAGTCAGTGCTTTTAGATGATTGCCAATGGAAGTTAACATAAATTAAATTGTGTTCATGCTAATTGCAAAATAACATTTAAAAAATCAGTTTCTTTCTACTGAAGGAAAGACGTCATTAAAACGTTAACGGGCAGAGGGGACAATGAGACTAACTGTCAATACTGGCCCTTTAAATAGGCAGATCTGCATTATGTCATGAACATGTTTTAAATATTTGCATTGTCATATCTCAGGGAAAGAGTTTGTTAAAAGTGTCACTTGTCATGACATGTACATTTTTTTTAACCAAAAGGTTTTCATGCATTCATTTCAAGGATGTCACGGCTTTATGCTATGCAACCCGACTGGTAGTGAGTTTTTAATGTCAATACTAATCATGTTGATATCTACTTTAAAAGCTGATATTTTTAAACATAAATACAAATATACAAATACAGAATTGTGACCAAGATAATCTTATTTTTGTAATGGTGACAGTAGTTACTTATTCGTTGACATATACATTAATACTGGAATATCTGCATATCAGCCAATAATAAACCTGATCAGTCAGTCAAGCTCTGATACAGGTCTCAAGTCTGCTTTCATGAAGATCTGATAACCTCAGCACCCCTGGTCGTGGTCACCCTATACGCACCACGTGGATGCTCAACACAACAATGCAAATCAGAACTGTCACTGCGCTCAACACCATTCCCCTGGCTTCCTTTCCTATCCAACATAACCGCCTCCACACATCTGACGAGTCTCACTTACTCAAAGGATGCTTCAAAGATGGTCAGAGATTCCCCTCATCTACCAATCCACACAGACATCTTCAATCCACCTGATGCTCGTCTCTTGAAACAAATCTGGTCGTCAAACCCAAGGAAACAGGTCCCTGTCCCCAACCTGCCGTGGAGACAGTGGTCAACCCTCAACAGATTTGAGGTCCCTCCCTGCTTGGCCAGTCTCCACAGGTGGGGCAGCAGCCCAAGCCCACTGTGTGCATGTGGAGAGGAGCAAACAATAAAAACACATCATTGAGGTTTGTCCTCTGCAGAGACTAAAAGGAGGATTAGTCACCCTCCATACAGCAGACCAGGAGGCAACTGCTGAGCTCAAGGACTTTGCATTCGCTAAATAAATGATCAGAATGTGTTTTTAAGAAAACATGTAGCAACTTAAAGAGGTGCTAGAGACAGGCGCTGTCTGGATTGCAATCATCTGAAACTTGTGCAATATGGCAGGAAACAAACATGAAGAACTGACTCGGTTTGTATGCAACAAACTACAGAATCAAAAAAACAAACATCAGCTTCAACAAATGAGCATTTATTGAAAAGCTCATGTCACGGATTGTACTGCAAAGCAGTTATTTCGCTTTGAAGCTGCAATCTTATGAATATATACCTATATTATAACATAACACGTGTTGGAAACCATTTGATTGCTATTGATGGGTTGCTTATGAGCAGTACAGTACAGACGTCATCATACTTGGTATCTATTTAACGGCGTCACAAAAACAACAAACTCAAAGTTCACAGTTTAATGGGGACAAATGAAAACTGAACCAGGCATTTATGTTATCAACATATCTACATTTAATACAGATTCTCAAGCTCTAGGATTTATCAAGAAAAAAAAAAAAAAAAAAGAACCCTATTTTGTCAAGAAATAAAATCTGATACACGAGCAAATTATTTACACTGCCTGCACACAGACATTGAACCACCGACAGGCCTAACTCACCACAGACACGCATTCGGCTGGAAAACCTGTAAACTAATGCTGAAATGAAAATGTGTTCTACAGAGAATGCCAGTGAACCAGCATCCAAAAGAATTTGGACTGAGGTACGGATGCGATATAATATAATGGTCATAAACTCTTCCAGCATTTCTAACACAGGAGGAGGTCGGTACAGTGATGCCAGCGAACCTCAAATCCCTGCAACAAGACACGACTTAAACTGAGTCTCACACCGATGATTGGTTTACATAAGCTGGTGCAACCTGTGACTTTATAAGGGGGGGGGGGGGAGGTGCACAAAATGAACAGCAAAAAAGGGGGAGAGCAATGGTTACCATCCTCTTGCCTTTGCATAGGAAAAGAAAAACAATTCACTTCATGCTTGATGTGAGCGTCCGCTATCATTCATGGCAAACAGCACGAGCCAAACACAACGTCCAAGCACATTTTTTTTTTTGTTTCTATGAGCAACACAGACAGCACAGACCATTCTCCAAAAGCAGGTTTCTAGCATCAACCTGAACAACTCACGTCAGCCACCAATATTCAAACATTTTTCAATTAATATCCAGCTATGTGAAAACTTTTTTTTTTTCTATTCAGCGGTCGTTTCTATTGATTTTCTGCATCCAGTTCAAGGCTGCTTTTAATAAAAACCTGGTATTATGAAAAAAAAAAACATTTATGAATTACCAAAGGTCAAGCCTAAATCTAAGAGTATTATGCATACATTCAACTTATTTAAATTGTCTGTATTGGGGGTGTGATTGATATGCAAAGAAAGAAAAAATCTTTTCTCAAAATATTACAGTATGGTGATATGGGGTGGGTATGTTTGGAGCGCCACCTGGAGGTGGAGGCGGGACTTCATTATGTAAAACCTACACACAAACTAGTCGCTCCCGAGAAGTCTTTTTTTTTTGGCATTTTAGTTACCAGTTCAAGCTAACGTGATTATGAAGTGGGCTAACGCTTCAACGTTTAATGAAAAAGTTACCAAGAAATACTGGAGTAAATGCCAAATAAAAAGGACAGTGTATTTATGTATTCTACCACCGTGTGTAAGATGTCTTTCTTTAATATTGGTGGTTTCTGTAAAATACTGGAGTGCAATGCTGACGCTATCCAAGGATTGTGGCACTCGGAGAAAAGGGAGGCGGAGTAGGGAGGGAGCAAGACAGACCTGAGAACGTGGCCCCTTATTTAAAGAAGGGAGTCAGGCTTGAGAGACTTGATACAGCATAAAAGAAAGGAAGAGAGAAAGTATAGTCAGAGCAGAATGAAGAGGGCTTTAAAGGGAGCAGCAGGCCATGGACACCGAGCCTTAGAAGGTAGGAGCGGGGAGTTTTACGGCAAAGATAAAATGTGGGGAGGAAGAGGCAGAGTGAGATACATGGCTCTCGTTCGGTAGTCCATAGTGTAGCTTTTTCCAGCTTGTATAAAGTACATCTCCAGGCAAGGGGGTGATCTGTTCTCTACAGTCTTGTGTTGTCCAGGCTTGTGTTTGGGTATGATGGAGAGATGGGAGAGAGGTGGGGGTGGGGGGTGGGGGGGGTCCTTTCAGTAGTCCTCCACCCAGCCGTTCTCCTGGATAAAGGCATCGATCACTTCCTTCATGGCCAGGTTCGGGATCAGCTGGTCCTGGGTCAGGGGACTCCTGGTGACCGGGTCAAAATGACCCACTCGCTGCACAGAGAGCAGGTTAAATGTTAGTGTTGGCGTCTGTGGTTGAATTTACAGAACACAAATAAGACCATTTTATTTGGGCATAACCATACCTACAATACAATGTTACTAATAATATCATATCATACATACAAATAGCTCAAATAGAAATAAAGGAGAATTCAGACCACATGAATTCAGGTAGGTGGTTTTCAAAGTAAAATGCGTTGATGCTATAAACTCCGTGGTGCTGTATCTAAGTTATTCAATAGTGGTACTTTTACAAGATGTTAAACTTAAATAAAGTCATAGGCTTTGTACAAAATGAATCACTATTCACTATTCACAGTGTGAAGATGACAGAATGAGAGGGTTTACATTTGGTACAAGAATTTGAGAGGAACCCAAACGAGCTTACCAGAGGCTGAAGTTAGCCGAGATAAATAAATTACACAGTCCTGTGCGTACGGACGGACGGATGGATAGACAGATTGATGGACAACCCAAAAACAAAAACGTAAACTCGCCGTGCAGCCGACGATGGCTTTACCTGTAGGTGCTCTTCGATGTCCTTGCGATCATACGTGATCCCACTGGGTGTGATGCAGGGCTCCCTCATCAGCTCAAAACTGATCTTACCACACAGGTAATCTGGGATCTCCCGCTTCTGAACAGACGACAAAACGCAGCCGGAGGAATGGGAAGAGATACATGGATATGAAATCACAATTGATTATAGATTAACCTACAACCTACAGCTTGTGATCCCGTCTTTTCCTGGTCTTACCAGATTAATTACAGCTTAATGTCACTGCTGCTTGGCAATACATTTCACATTCACGTTTTCTGACACATCATCATCCAGTTTAGATTAAATATATGAAAAAGCAACACTGCTCGTACTACAAATATCATCAAATTGTTGAAATAAAGGTATTATATAAAAGAATCCTCAGCTCTACACTGAAGCGGCCTTCACAGCTTCCAACACGTACAAGACAAACGCCCTGCTGGCAGTCAGTGTGGTGTCATATTAACTGACAATAATATGATAACTACCTCAGGTCAGTCAAAAACTAACTACACCAACGACAATTAAACACTGCAAACAAATAGTGATGGTTATCATAGAAACAGTTTGGGAGATAACCGTCTGTCTGGAGTAAAGGTGCATTTTTCAAGCACCGACGGTCGCAGATAATTTGAATATATAAACAAAGGAACAACGCAGAAAGAATATCCATATGCTTAAAAAACAGAATGTGGAATGAGCCACCGTGACTGTGCTCGAGCCTATTTATCCTGTTGCTATGTCAACGATGGGAGACGATGGTGTGAGGTAGGTGTGTGCTGTTAGCGAAGACGCGTCTGTGTGAGTGAATGTCATCAGCGTGTGCCCGTCTGTTTGTCAGCCGTGTAACGGGTGACGGTGACCTGTCCAGAATGTTTCCCTGCATGCTGGGATGAATTCCAGTCCGCACATAATAGGAATGTGTGGGTCTGAGAAATAACTGAGGGAACGAATACAATCGTTAACTCTTACATGCTCAACTGAGATTAATACTAATCATTTTCATACTCACTTTTCTTTTCTCATCCACTTGAGAGAAGAGCTCATCCATGTCCATTAGGTACTTGTCCTAAGAAGGTCACATTTCCATGTTACCAGACATATTTATGAATACGCAGTTAGAATATATAATTACTATATTTGTTCATTAGAAGAATAACAACAGAGAAAGTCCAAGACGGATATAAAACTTGCATGTTTTGATGCAACCTTGGCAGCGTCTCCTCCATTTTGATTGTCGTCCTGTTTCTCTTTGTATTCTTCAAATTCTCTGCATAAATACAAAGTTATTATAAATAATATTATTATACCCTCGTGACACTCATATTCCAGTGATCTGCAGTCTTGATCAAGAGATCATTGTGACCGTGTAGTTGACTGCCGCCCCACAGTCTCACCTTTCCTTCTCAGCCTGTATGAGTTTAGTCAGATAGTCATGTAACTCGTTCTCCTGGTTGATGCGCTTCTCCTCAATGCTGTTCCATCGCTTCTTCTTTGCAATGCGCAAGGCGCTGGGGATGTCATCTCCGAAATTCAGTCTTTGTTCTTTTGCCAAATTAAAAGCTGGAGAAAACAGTATTACAGCAACATTGGTAAACCATTAAAGTGTCACCTTCTGACGTTTCTTGTTCCATAGACAACATATTAAAAATGTAGATGCATGAGTGACATTGTGCAGTTATGAGCAAGCTGCTTCTTTCTACACACTACCGCAAAACGTTGCAAAACTTTTACCACCTCCTACTGGTTTGCTCTGACCTTTCTGCAGGTTGCCGATGGCCTCGTCATAGTTCTCCAGCTCCAGGTGACACTGGCCTAAGAAGAAGTGGGCCTTTACTGACTGGCTGTCCAGCTCCAGCGCGTGCTTACAATCTGCCAGAGCCTTGTCATGCTGCTGCAGCTTCACATGGCAGAGAGCCCTGTTGGTGTAGTACACTGCCACTGATGGATTACGGTTCTGGGAGACAGGACATAGCAAGATAGTACATACACACGTTAACATCACGGCACTGTAGACTAGACTACAAAGAGACTCGCCGAAAAAATTCCATTATATTTCGTATATTTTGTTAGGAAGACGCGATTCCACCTTTGACAATATTTGTTCACAATGACGGTTACTCACAATAGCTTTACTGTAACACGTAGCAGCCTCCTGGTACTTGCGGCAGAGGAAGAGCCGGTTCCCCTGCTCCTTCAGCTCCTGCGCGGTGGAGCTCTTCTCCGGGCTGCCGGCCATCTTCTCCACCGGCTCCGCGGGGCCCGCCTCGCCCTGCTTCCCTATCCTGTTCCCCGTCTCTTCGGCTGGCTAGCTGACAGGTCCTAGAATGCCCTGTCCCTCCTGGATCTCACGCACTAGATCAGAGACACGGTGCATATGAAGTTCAGTCAACATTCAGCGGCGTGCATTCACTGCAATGCACCTGCAATGCGCGTCTTCGGGGCGAATTAGGTGCAGTCCTTGGGTGCCACACGAAAAGCATTCGGTTTAATTCGCTGACTGTGCACACAGCTCAAAAAAAATACAGCGAGGTGGCTGGACTGCTGGCGAATTAACTATTAATTTGACGAACATCAGTAGTGACTAAATGAGATGCACAGCTAGCTAAATATTGTACACTCACGGTGCAAAGGCTATACAACTGGAACATATTTACGTAGTTAAGAGGTTGTAAACAAACAACGATGAAATTGTCATTAAGGTTCGTCTTACTAACATTTGAGATACAAGTGTTGCAACAGACAGCATAGAGACAGAGTGATAATGTCGTTAACTTGAGTTAATAAAAGACGTTATAAGAGATCGGTGCGAGCTTGATGTTAACGTTAGCTAGTTAGCTAAGCTAGCACAGTAAACTAACGCTATGTTGTCCATTTACGCCGGGCGTGTATTGTCTGTAGTAACACAATTCATCAGCAACTGATTGGACTTTAGGTATCATGGGCCTGGAAACGTCGTCTTTGCATTTATCTCACATTTACCTCAATACCGCTGAGCAACCTCATAAAACAGAAATGAGCTAATGCTAGGTTAGCTTATTTGCTACACAGCCTCTTGCCTTCTATTTTTCTATCAACACAAGTTATAGTTTGTACCTGAGACTCGCAGTTTCCACACCTTACCTTAAAGAGGTAATCTTACATCCAGGTGAAACGGATTTTATATGGTTTGATATCTTAATCGTTATTTTGTCCCCCACACGAGCTGTCATGACAGGTTGTTGTTATGCTGACGTCGACGGAAGCCGAAAGGACGTGACTTTCTCGTTCACCTGACTGAAAAAAAGGTCAGGAACGAAACGCAAATTGCCTGCTGCCTAGATCAGTCGTTTATTTCCGAGGAAATGTTAATCAAGACAACATAAAAGAAATGTCAATGTCATTGATTGAGCATGAAATGTGTTAAAAGATCTTTGTTTAAATATATTTTAATGAGGATGCCTCCATGTGAATAAAGTTATTTTCTGCTCCAACGGGTGGAGAGCGCCACAGCACTAAGTACTAGCCCGCAGATGGCGCTCAATAACAAATGTTTGATCCAAAGCTCAAAAGTGACACAAGTGCAAAATCTTCACTGAGTTTTTGTTATTAAAAAATAAGTAAGACTTTTGGAATCATGTGACATTATCTCATTTACAAGTCCCTTGGACTGGAATTGTGACTCATGATAAGTAAGGATGACGAAAGCAGCATGTGACAAAATACTGCAAATATTATGTCACAGATTAAAAAAATTAAATTAAAAAAAAAAGGGGTGGGGTGGGGGGGATAAACTCTGTCACTTCATGACAATGGTCTATTCATTTTTGGGAGGCATGTTCAGAAAAATGGTAAGATTATGATCAAGATGATTAAATCATCAGGGCCATCCCACCCACAGAGAGATTCATCCACACAGAGACAGATCCATAGATGACCTTTATAGGCCTTTATTAAGAAACGAACATTCAAGTTTAGCCATGGAGGACTTAGCAAGGCTGTGACTGTGGACGGGGTCACTTTCATCCCAGCCTGTTGTGCCTCTAGGAAGGTGCCGCACAGAGATCAGCGTGTGAAGATTAGAGCACATCCCCTGAGCAAACACACTGATAAATTTGTGAAGGGGGCCGTTGAGCCGCAGACCCACTTGCACTGTGTGTCCCCAGCTGTGTTTACCTATCTCCACCAGTCTGGTCCCCTGATCCCCCAGAACACCCACCTACCCAGCCAGCCTCCAGTCCCATCTCTATAAAAGTGGGGTTTTAGACTAGTGACAGAGAATAATGAGGACAGACACACTAATGTTGCAATTTTAGATTCGAAGATGTGAAACTCAAATCAGGGACACCAAGCATTTACTAAATGGTGTACAATCTGTACCTCTTTCTTACACGTAACTTATTTTGAATGGGATATTTTTAGCTAATCTTTTTCTTAAATCTTAAAGTTATATTTAATAGAGAAAATATGATCACACAGAGACTAATTTGAGAAATAAATGTACATGCATGTTTGCTGTTATCCATAAGTGCACAATAACAAACTCAGTTTTACTAAAATTCCTGCTCTGTGTGCTCCAAACCCCATGTACGCTTTAAGAAATATATAGTTGCAAAAAATTTTTTTTTTGTGCTTAAGTTTTCCCATCATGCAAATCAAAAATTAAACACAAATAGAATTCCATTTTAGTTTTTTTTTTGCACAAGAAAAAATCATCATATAGGGGAACGTCATAAAGGTTTGACTGACCCATATCCATGATTGACATCTCAATAGAGGCATATTCAATAACATCTACATTCATGTTCCTTATTGATATGAGCAAAGTTTAAACTTGCTCAGTTTAAGCCAGAAACATCTTCAAACCTGCTTCTCTTGCTTGCTTGATTATTTCTGAACTATTATACCGTATTTACTCATCTCTTATAATCATGTTCCTAAGAGAGAAAAAAAGACAATTTGACTTCCACATAATGTCAGTGTATTTGTCTGCCATAGAAAGAGGTTATAGATTATACAAAAATCTCCAACAGAATGTTGTGTGAGCAATTGTAGAGATTTGGTGACTGTTTGTAAAGGATGATAAACAGAACAGAGACTCCACATTGTGATGGTTCATATGAATGCAGTTTCAAAGTGCTTACATTCAAACTGCCTTACCCTCATTCACCAGCTCCCTGCCCTCTGTCCAGCATCCCAACCGTCACCCCCCCCCCCCCATCAAACCCAAATTGCTGCCCGCTGCACCAGCTGGCTGAGCTTCCAGTCACTTTGGCAACGAGACCAGGAAGATGCCCAGCTCCTCTGGCACAGCTGAAAAGCAGCCACTTCCTGATTGATTCTGGTCTTTCTTTCTGCCTGTGTAGACGTTTCCCCATTTGGCAGTGTTCTCCGCTATTCAGCGCCAAAGCATCTGAAAAGAGGAAAAGGGTGAACACACTCTCCTTAGCGTTAAGGGAAACCTCAGGTTCAAATGGGTAAAACAAAAGCCGTATTTATCCACAATGGTGGCCCTTTGTTTGGTGTGTTTGCTCATTTTGGGAAGAGGAAAGGCTCATAGACTTAATGCAGTTTGTTCAAGTGGGTCTGAATGCAACACGTACACAAAAGTAAAATAATAGTTCCACTGTCTTAACTGAAAGAAGATGGAAATGCAGGAACTGATTATTTAAATTTACATCTCAACTGATTAAGCAGCTTCATAATGAAAGGAAGGTCGCCATGTCTGACTATTTGAGAGTCAGACATGTGCTAATATTGTCATACTGTCAGTATAAATCACCTTATGTCATTGTTAGTAAAAACACGTTTGCAATTGTTTTCCTTTTACAAACTCTTCTAAACCTGTTTCACACTTTTTTTTAAAAATAAGCCTGCCTTCACACTCTGTAATTAACCATCACACTGTGACATCTAATAAAACTCACCTCACTCAGACACTCAAATGCACACACATGGCCAGCTGTCAATCACAACTTCCCTCTTTATCTTCACTTGCTCATCCCTCTTGTGCCAGAACACAAACACAAACTAAAACTTTAATCAAATCAAATAATTAAAGCTGCTCTGCAAATCTGCATGCACAAAGTATTACAAGTAAAAAGGATCTAATGTGACATGTGCCCCAAGTTACCGAGTGAGCGTTTAGAATAGGAACATTGTTGGATGTGCTCATAATGACTTCAGAAGGATGAAAAAGGGACATTTTGAAATTACAAAATACAGTGCACTAAATCAAGCATTTTTTCCTTCTCTTACTGATCACCCATTGTGAATTGCCATACATATATAAAATTTGCAATGCTCATTAACAACAACAAGTTTACTCCCCAATATATTTTATTTTAACTCCAGTTAAGTGACATTCTTCAATGTTTTTTTAAATTAAAATAAAATTGATGAATGTAATGTGTGACTTGTAATGACTTTAATGGTTAGAAGTGTTTGGTAATCATCTATAGTGGCTGTGTAAATGTGTAAATGTGCATTCATACACATGCTTTGACTCTGAATGGTTGCTAAAGCTGACTCCTTGGGTTAGGAGTTAAATGAGGGATATCCTGAAGCTAACCCAAAGGCAAGTAAGAGAAAGGCCAGAGATACCCATGGGTCAAAGGTCAGCCACACACCTCTGCAACCGTGATTAAACTTCCTGACAAAGGGAGGGGGTGGAATAACTCATCCTATTCAGACCTTGCACACACATACACACACAAACAAACAGGGAAACAACATCTGGATTGTTAAGGACAATTCAATCTCTGGCCAACTAAAAAGTTTAATTTTACAATGTGAATAAACAAAATCCTATGCAAAGGATCACAGGATTAACAGCGATTTTGGTATCAATTGAACATGCATTATATAAGAAACTTTATACATGCAGTTGATAGATTCTTCTTTTTCTCAGACTAGACGCAAATGACACAATATCTTCTGTGTATTTTGGTTTGAGACCTAAAAAAAGCTTAAGTAAACTGAAATTAAACAGTTTGTTTTTCAAACTTAGCTGTGTTAGTCCAAAAATCTTTTACACCCTGGGGGGTTAACAGCACACTGGCTGAGACACCCCCACTTACCAAAACACACACACACACACACACACACACACACACACACACACCATGGATTGATGTGTGGCGGCTGGGGGTGGAGGCGGCTGCTGTGTATAAGTGGCGGGGGAGAAGTTTTACAAAAGAGTTTTTGGAGGGAAATCAAAACTCCTGAGCCTGAGATATTCAGGGATGCAGAGGGAAATTCATCCTCCCCTCCTCCACCACTGAATCTATATATAAGTGAACCATTATTATAACCGATGCATATCAATAGGTGGAAACAATATTTGTTTACTGATTGTCATTAATTGCAGGGTGCAAAACATAAGATTGAGTAATTTCAAATTACAATGAGCTTTGTATCTCATCTCATTATCAATTTAAAAGCAATTGTTCTGGTTAAGCTCCTGCATTTCACAAGTGACTAATGACTATTTGTGTGTTTTTCACTCAGCAAATCAATGGGGATCTTCACAGGAGTGAACACAACCAGCAGGGGCACCAAGAAGTAACTTCATTTCTCTCCCTGCATGTCCATGTCCCATCCCCCGGTCCCCACTGCTACTCCCCCTGTAACTCCTCTAATGTCCCCTTAGGTCATGCTCTCTGGGGTCACCAACCACCGCCCTGCCCCAACCCCCACCCTCCAACACAATCCAAAAGAGCTAAAGCAGACATAATGAGCAATGGGCTAATTGTGTGTGTGTGTGTGTGCGTGTGTGTTGGCCAGACAGAGGTTTGTTTTGGGGGTGGTGCTTGTGTGTGTGTGTGTGTGTGTGTGTGTGTGTGATTGTGCACAGCCCTTCATGGCGTGTCAGGAAAAGGCGAGTGTTATATTTGATTGACAGGCCTATGCAGAAGATTTTCAGAGCAGTCAGACATGAGCAGACACATGAATAGCGACACACACAATTCTGAAACCACTGCTCTCCAAGAAGTTATTTACATATTGCTTACAGACATATATTTATATACAGTATATATATATATATATATGTACAGTATATAGACATATATATGTCTATATATATATATATATTCAATTCATTGACCCCACAGCTATTTTCCTCCTCTTCCGTTCCCCATTTTACTAAATAAAAAAACATCTATAATGCTGAGAACAAAAGGTTTAAGTTAGAACACAAACAACACAAACAACTGTCTGCAACAACTGCACTTAGCAGGCTCGTTAGCTCTTACAGCATTT